ACCCCAGTGGGGGAGGGTGGGGGTTGAGGGGGGAGGCTGGCCACTAAGATCAGGCAGCATGAGTAGCCTGGCAGAATGCTTGCTTTGTTGCCACAGCAACGAAGCAAGTGTTCCACTCCAGCCACAGAGGGCCTCTGGGCAGCAAGCACTGAGCAGCTGGGGGTGGAGGGGAAGGGGGCAGTGAGACAAGCATTCCGCGCCTGGCTGCAAATGGGCCTCTGGCCAGCAGGTGCGGAGCGGCCAGGCCTTGCAGGAGCTACTGGTGCACGGATTCGTGCCAGGGCTCCTAGTGAATTTATAAGAGAAAGTGCTTGCTCTGACCGTGTTTCTAAGTGGTTAGAGCATCAGCCCATGCACTGAAGGGAGAGTTCAATTCCTAGTCAAGGGCATGTACCTGGGTTACAGGTTCAATCTTCAGCCCTAATCGGGCATGTGCATGAGGCAACCAATTGATGTGTCTCTCTCACATTGATGCTTCTCTCTCTCTCTCTTTCTCTCTCTCTCTCTCTCTCTCTCTTTCTTTCTCTCTCTCTCTCTTTCTTTCTCTCTCTCCCTCCCCCTTCCATCCCTCCCTTCCACTCTCTAAAAAACAATGGGAAAAAATATCCTCAGGTAAGGATTAACCAAAAATAAAATAAAAAATAAAAAGGAGCCAGCCTGTGTGGTTCAGTAGTTGAGCAACAACCTATAAACCAGGATGTCAGGTTCCATTCTCTGTCAGGGCACATGCCTGGGATGCAGGCTCAGTCTCCACTGAGGGGTGTGCAGGAGGCAGAGGATCAATGATTCTCTCTCTCTCCCTATCCTTTCATCTCTGAAATTAATAAAAATGTTTTTTAAAATAAATAAAAAAGAGAGAGATCTTAATTCTATAACTAAGCTAGAAATGGCTATTTGTGGGGTTATTCTGAATCTGTGGGGAATAGATGAGCTGGGATTGAAAGATAAAGTATTAACAGACGTGGAGAGGATTGGGATGGTCAGAGAACCCAGAATAACTGGGTAGCAACGTTGGAATGAGTGGAAAGAAAATCAATCTGACAAAGTAAAAGATCTAGGAAGCAGGCTGAGAAGAGGCGAAGCATGTGCAGAGGCTGACATCTGCTCACAGCTCATCCTCAAGGTACCAGTTCTGGTGGGGGGCAGAAGGGGGGGCATTCCTGATATGCTCAGCCATTCACACTCCAGCAGGATGCACACCATTTTAATCAATTAGCTACTCGTTTTCCTTACCCTCATTTTAATTTAAGAATGGCTTCCTTCTTCCCAGCTATCTGATTCTCAAGAAATACTATAGCCTAATGACTTACCCATGGGAGCAGTTTTCGGGCAGTAAAAGGATGCAGAAATAGAAGAATTTACTTTACAGGAATCAACTCAACTACACTGAATCACCTTAAGGTTTAAAACATTACTGAGGTAGAATTAAGCTTATTTCTTCATTCTATCATAAAAATAACACCTTCCTACTTACTGAGTCTTGAGCCTATAAGTGTTTAAAAAAGATTTCATTTACTAACTTTTAAGGGTACTTGTTAAGGTTAGAGTCAAAACCCCAATATTTGTTTATAATTTTCAAGAATACTACATATGTGTACACTTGACTTTGAGGTTTCCTTGGAACCTTCAAGATTAATTCTGATATAAAAATTCTAGTAATTGATTAATTATCAAGGCTACAAAAAAAAAAAAAGAAGAAGAAGAAGCTTGGAGATAAAAACCAAGGAAATTTAAGTAAATGCCATCATGCTCGTTCAAAAATAGCCTATTGAAATGACGGGGGGGGGGGGGGGGGGGGGGGGAGGAGCACAAACAAATGAAACTTGAATCCTTTACTGAAAAAAAAACAAAGGAAATTGTAATCGAGGAGGCATGCTCTCCTTAGCTGCCTGAAAGTCCACCAGACCTGTAGAGCAGTAGGAAATGAACCCTCTGGGCATTTGCATAAATCTATATTCATGGTTGCTTTGATTTCTTTTTTGTTTTTCCCCCTGCTGCAGGAGGGGAGAAAGAAATGATGTTGAGCTGACACCAGTTTGGCTCAGTGGATGGAGCATCAGCCTGCGGGACTGAAAGGTCCCAGGTTTAATTCCGGTCAAGGGCATGTACCTTGGTTGCGGGGACATCCCCAGTAGGGAGTGTGCAGGAGGCAGCTGATCAATGATTCTCTCTCATGGATGTTTCTAACTCTCTATCCCTCTCTCTTCCTCTCTGCAAAAAAATTAATAATATATATATGAAAGAAAGAAACGATGTTGAAATTGAGGTGTGGCAGAGAGATTCTGCCTGGGAGCCGGGTGGGTGGGCGGAAAGAGAAGCTTGGTGCTCGGAGGAGCAAGGATTAGCTACTCCCCCTCCAGCTACCAGGGCTGGCTTGGACTCTAATGAGGAGGAGGCCCGAAGTGGATGAAAGGGGTTGTTTTCCTAAGGACTGCGGTGTGACTGGAGGTGTGAGCACAGTTGGGAGGCGAGGCCTTCTACCCTCTTCTGCAGGAGCCCAGTGTCTTTGCATCACCTGGAGGAGTCACAGCTTTGGGGGCATTTGGGGCTGGATGGAGACCTCGCCCATTTTCAGTCTCACAATGGGCGTCCTTGGCAGCCACTGTCCACCATCTACAAACCGAAGCCAGGCGAGACAGAAAAGCTTGGCAGACAGACTGGTTTGGGAGCACGGGTAAGTCATACCGCCAGCATCTGGAGGCTCTGCAGGAAAACCTCTGTTCCGGCATGAGGGCAGTTCCCGGAGCCCTGGATTGCTACTGCCCATGGACGTTCTTGTGAGCTTTCAGCCTCTGATGCGGAGGCAGGAGGCCAGGGAGTCCTATTCCATAGGAAAGGCAAGCACGGCCAGTGCTCAAGGAACCTGTGAAGCGCCCCCGGAGGCTGAAGTATGATCCTGAGATTAAAATGTGGTCTGGAGATCGGAAGAATCCACTGAAACCCTTGGTGACCAGGTAATCTTATTATCTATCCCTCAGCAGCAGAAACTTAGCGGACTGGGATTGGAAAACTGCTTCACTGGAACTCTCCCCCACGTCTCTGCGCCTGTGCATCCGTTAGCTCTGCGGTGATAAACCTGTAACACTGAGTACCAACTGCTCAGCTCTCAGTAGGGAGTCAGTTTCCCAAAGAGGATGGTGACGGGACCAGTTCGCCCAGCGGCAGCGCCCTCCTGCCTCACAGGCTTCTGGCCAGCTTGTAACTGAGTGCCCAGGAGTCAGGTGCCCACCCTGATAACACAGCTGTGACCAGGGTGGAAAGGTGACTCGACAGCAAATGAAGACTTGGCAAAAAAGAAACCCCTAGGTGAAAATGGTTTGGCTCAGTGGATAGAGCATTGGCCTGCGGACTGAAAGATCCCAGGTTCGATTCTGGTCAAGAGCATGTACTTTGGTTGCAGGCACATCCCCAGTAGGGGGTGTGCAGGAAGCAACTGATGGATGTTTCTCTCTCATTGATGTTTCTAGCTCTCTATCCCTCTCCCTTCCTCTCTGTAAAAAAATCAATAATATATTATTGATGAGAATGTGACTGTTATTGTTCACTAATATACTCATTCTCCTGGGCACAGGGCAGGACCAAACATCCAGCATCCACATTAACCACATCACTTGCTTTGACATGGCACATCCGGGTGAATATTTCCATGGCCCTTGTATGATTCATCCTGTTCTCTTAACCCTCTACAGCAGTGTAAGTAAACGTTAGGATGGGTCCCTGCGTGCCTGTACTAAGCAGAAACTAGAAGAGTTAGATATATGAGCTGGAGGAATAATGTTTATTACTATTGATATAGCTCTGTATTTATCTCTTGAAAACATGGGCTATATTTATATCAGAAAATACTTTTGAAACTTTGCCCACCTCCCCTCTCCCCCCCCCCAAAAAAAAACACTTTATAGGACATAACGTATTCTAAGGAGTTTGTTATTTTTATCTTAAAATTTTTTGAGTAAGTCGATTCTTTTAGCTTATATTCAACATGAATCTAACACATAGCAAATTATATTTTGTGGCAAATAAGATTATAAACATTTCCATTATATAATGACCGTAGCATGATCGAGAAGTTTATTATATCTCCTTTAGAGTATACAACATAGAGATATAAATTCTTCTCGCCATAATTCTGCATAAATGCATTGCCAAACTTGGCTCTTGAAAGTGATAAAGTGCAGATGTCTACAGCTGCAATCATAAAAATGTAATTGCTGAGGAAAAATATTTCTGATCCATTGGAGGAATTTATTACAGAGGGATGCAACTTTGTAAGTTATCACACAGGAAAAAATGAAAGCGAGTGATTGAAAGATATCCCAGGCTGAACATTCCTGCAAAATGACCTAGTGATTTACCTGTGCTCAGAGGAAGAAAAAAAAAATAGATTAGCGATAAATCAAGTTTGGTGGGGAAGGCTCTGGTAGCTATAACAAGAGCAGAAAAAAAGATTTACGAATAAATGAATCTAGAAGTCAGAGTAACATAATAGTAGTCTGACCAATTACTCCAAAAATTAAAACGTAATTTTGACTTTGAGTTACACACAGAGATGGTAAGTAATATCCGTGAAACCTTAAAAGTAAAAGAATATAAAATGAAGACAAATAATGAGGAAAGGTGAGAATTTTTCTAATGTGGCTACTAAACTGATAGCTTTATCTGGTGGCACTATCCATTTAAAGATCATGAACTTCTTTTGGAATGTTTTCCAATATAACCAGAGAATATGTTACATATTTAGGTACTTTGAAAACTACATATACATATTATTACTGCTGTTGCTTTTAAAAGAGAATGGGGGGAGAGGGGGCCTTTCAGAATTTTACATTATGATTACTAAATACAGACTTTTTTACATTTTAACAATTCTTTAAATGATGATTTTAGATGCCATTCGTTCTATAAAAATCAAGGCTTCCCTTGGTTCATTATCTATTTTTCCCACATTTTTCAAGATCTTCTGCGGTTACTCTACGTTGTCATTTCCATGCAATTGATACCTGGATTATGAGCGGCTCCAGTAGCTTCTCTACAGTGAATGTTTGGACCTGCAGATCCCGGGGGTCAATGTTCAGTGTGACTGGTGTTTCGGCTGACATGCTGCCTGTGCACAAAAGCAAAATACATTTATTAATTTAAGAAATGTGTTCTAAAGGAAGCCCCTGATTAAAATCAGAGAGTGCGTGAGATTTCAGGACCTCTTCCTGGTATCAGCTGTAGCCCTCCGAGGACCAAGGTGTCAAGTCCACCAACAGAGAAGCGAGATATTCTCCAAGTATTCCTGGAGGTTGTGCTGTCTGAGCCCCAGTCCTCTAACTAACTAATCTGTGCTAGCATATCCATGACTAAAATAATCACTCAGCCCAGGAGGGTCTGCATTGACAGGAGTCTTGGTGAAAAAAACCTATTTTTGCCTTGAAAAAAAAAACACCATTATTCAAGGTATATTAAGTGAAAAAATGTTATTTGAATATCTTTTCAAATGAAAGTATAAATTACTATTATTATGCTACTAGAGGCCCAGTGCATGAAATTTGTGCACAGGTGGGGTCCCTAGGCCTGGCCAGCAATCAGGGCCTATCAGGACTGTCTCACTCAGTCAGCTGCAGCCAGGGTCTAGAAGCCTGCCAGCTGCTGGACTGGACCAGAGGGACGAGGGGAGAGGGGGAGATTTGAGGTTGGCTGTAGGAGCGCATTGACCATCAGGGGGCAGCTCCTGCATTGACTGTCTGCCCCCAGGTGGTCAATGTGCATCATAGTGACTGGTCGATTGGTTGTTCAGTTGGAACAAATCACTTAGGCTTTTAATATATAGATGATATATCCTATATAATAAAAGCCTAATATGCTAAGTGTCCGACCACTCATTCGATCAGTCACTATGATGCACACTGACCAACAGTGTGCATCATAGTGACTGATATGCTGCTGGGTCCAGCTGACCAATATGCTGCTGGGTCCAGCTGACCAAGAGTGGGCACCAATATGCTGCTGGGTCCAGCTGACCAAGAGTGGGCAAGACAGGCCAGACATGCCCTGGAGCCTTCCTGTAGTCCCTCCCCGGCCCCAATTATGCAGCAGTGAGGTCCCTTGGTCTGGCCTGCTTCCTCTCACTATCTGGGACCCCTCGGGGAATGTCAGAGAGCTGGTTTCGGCCTGATCCCCACAGGCCAGGCCAAAGGACCCCACTGGTGCATAAATCCATGCACCAGGCCTCTAGTCAATATATAAAGACACAAATCCTTATAGTATAGCCCTTTACTATCTTGCTTCTCTCTCTTTTCACTGGTTTTACTTCCTTTCTAAAGTAAAAACATGATTTCCTTTCTCAGCTATTCATCTAAAATGCAAGATATATGCTCCAAGAAAGGCTCCCAACACTATTGTCAAATGGCTTCTCTTACGAGCATTTGAAGGACTGAAATGTTTTGTTTGGTTAGGTTTTTCTTTTTGGTTTTGTTTTTTCCAATCATTCCATCTATCACTTTGATTCCCTCTAACACAAGCAAATCTAAATTGACAGATAGGATATTCTCGGGTGACCTTTCTGCATAGCTCAAAGCCAATCCATACAATAAAGTACGTCCTTCAGTTCCGGAACCACCAGGGTTCTATTAAATGTGTACTCACAAAAGGGCTTACTTGTTACTCCTCTCGTGACAGGAACTATCCTACATATAAATCAAGTCAAGGTTGCCGATATTGCTTTGTTCTTTCATCTCGGGGACAAGAAGTAGAGGGCACTGCTATGAACTAAAATAAGATCTAAGTGAACCTGCACAGCCTTTACAAATATGTCCTTTCACTGCAAAACTCACAAGAGTTTTCAAAGCTACATTGAGCACCAGAATTAGAGGCAGGGAAAATAAAGTTAAGGAGAGTAAAAATTATCCACATCATATGTCATCCTGCTCGATGAGTGTTAAAGTCAAGAGATAAAAGACAAACCTAATTTGGCCAAATTATCTCCTAATTGTGTGATCCTGCCTTTAATACACACTACGTAAAGAAAGTTATTGAGTTCATATTTTCATGCCAAAAATATATATAAAATAATAAGCCAACACGTCCTTGAAGAACTTTGGCTACATATAATTATTATTTGAATAATTCTGTTTCTTATAAAAATCTTCTGGGTCTTTTGAATGTAATTACCCTGATTTATTGGCAATCAAGGCAATAATAGGCAGGAAACTGCAGAATTTTGCAAGTGAAGTCAAAAGCAAGGTCAAAGTCTGACAAATTGTTACCAACCTCTCATAGCAACATCACAGTGTAGATATAAAACAAAAATCACCTAACTTGCAGGTATTACATTCCAAGGCATTAACATCTTTTTTTAAATATATTTTATTGATTTTTTTTACAGAGAGGAAGGGCGAGGGATAGAGAGTTAGAAACATCGATGAGAAACACCAATCAGCTGCCTCCTGCACACCCACTACTGGGGATGTGCCTGCAACCAAGATACATGCCCCTGACCGGAATCGAACCCGGGACCTTTCAGTCCGCAGGCTGATGCTCTATCCACTGAGCCAAACCGGTTTTGGCCATTAACATCTTATTAAACATAAAATCTTAGGAGTCGGTACCTCGCAGAACATTCAAGATTACCTTCTACAATATCCTTCATTTCAGCAATGTGCTGGGCTAAGATGGTCAGAAATGATGAGATGCCCACTATAACATTAGCTGCCAGTGGTCACTTTTATAAAGTCCTTCCCTATGTTGAATTGAAGTCTGCCACTTAGATGCAACAGAGGTGGCTTTACAGATTGTGGAAGGTACAAGTTGGGAGACAGACAGACACCCAACTGCAAATAATTATTCTTTGAATAATGTTATTTCTTATAAAAATCTTCTGGGTCTTTTGGATATTATAACCAATATGTGGTCTCCAATACCACATATTTGATTTCTTAAAAAATAAAATTTTGCAACCAGTTTGTAAGGTGATAGCTGATTCTAAGATTATTAAATTCCATGACACAGTCATCATAATTGCCTTATTAATCTAACTTCATACCCACCTTTCAACTGAACTGTTCCAGTCTCTTTTTTTTTTTTCAAGGATTACTGCAAACCCAAAGTCTCCCCATCATATATTTAACCAATTAATTTTTATTTGCCCCTAACTTCAGAATTTTATTTTGTTCTCCTAACATTCCATATTGTAGAATTTGGACATTTGTTCCCACCAATCAAAAACTGGTCTCCTAGAGCCGGGCACATTAACACCACCTCCTCAAGTTCAAAGTGCATTGATCATGTCAATACTTCTTCTACCAAAAGTGCCTTAGGCTTCATGAGATTCATCTGGATCTCATTCAACAAAGCTCTAGTGAGTGAGTATAAAGGGAAAATATCCCCACCATTATCACATATGCTAACCTTACCTAATACTCTACACTTTTCAAATATCAGAAAAGGTGAGCAACTAGTACTGACACAATGTCATAAAAGAGCTTTTTTTTTCATTGTCATTAAAAATTTATTACAAAACTTTGTCAACCTCACTCTCTATCACTGGTCTCCTTCAGAAAGATTATCATAATTCAGTTAAGAACAATGTGAAAGATTAAAACCAAAGGTTAATTGGCCCACAAAAAAAAAATCTAAATTTTAATTAAAAACATTTAAGTAAATAAAAGAAAAGGGGTTTATGGGGAATTTGCTGCACAGTATTATCACAATTGATTTTATCCTATTCAGTCGTAGCAACAGTGAAATAAAATGGAAAGAGGACAACTATAACAAACAATTTCTACTCAAGTCTCTATATACACTTGTTTTTCCAAGCTCACATCCATCACGCCATATCCCCACCTACATGCATTCAATAAAAACATTTGCTGGCTTGTTTGATCTTCCAAGGAATACACAAATCCTTTACTTATTTGGCAAACAAAAGGATCTCAGGTTTCTCAGAAGGTCAATAAAATCAGGCAATTGCCTAATATATATAATGAGGAAATCACTGGTTTCTCTTTCCAGATATTTTTCTTAACTTTATAATTACTTTCCATAGATGCATTTGGAGATCAATAATCTGTATAAGCTCTTCTACCGAGCCTTTTAGTCACCGATAAGACCAAAATAGTGTGAGATCAGAGGCACCCTTGGACCACCAGGCATCATTCATTTATTCATTCAATTTATATTTATTGAGTTTATAGTTTGTGGCAGTCATGGGGAGGGGAAGGCCATAAACAATAAATATAATAAAAAAATTGTTTATTACATTAGAAAATGACATGCTATGATAAAAATTTTAAAAAATAAAGTGTAGCAGTGAATAGAATTAGGTGACAGAGAAGTTAGGAGCACATTGCAGTGTTGAATATGATCACTGAGAAGGGGAGATTTGGGCTAAGACTGAAGGAGTGAGGAAGTGAGCCAAGCGGACACCTGGAGAAGAGCATTCCAGGCAGAGATAACAGGCAGAGCAAAATCTCTAAGACAGGAGTGTGCTGCCTGTCTGTGAACGGTACGGAAGCCAGTGTAATCGGAGTAGAGAGAGCTACACAGAGGTTTGTACGAGAAATCAGAGAGGTAATGGGGTAGGGGCTGCTGGCCATGTGGAGCCCAATGGAAAATACTGCATGGCTCTGAGCACTAAGAAACATGGTCTGGTTTATATTCTGGAAGGTTCGCTTCAGCAGAGAAGGAGGAGGAGGACAAGGAGAAAATGGAGGGGAGAGGAAGAAGAAGAAGAAGGAGGAGGAGGAGGAGGAGGAGGAGGAGGAGGAGGAGGAGAAGGAGAAGGAGAAGGAGAAGGAGAAGGAGAAGGAGAAGGAGAAGGAGAAGGAGAAGGAGAAGGAGAAGGAGAAGGAGAAGGAGAAGGAGAAGGAGAAGGAGAAGGAGAAGGAGAAGGAGAAGGAGAAGGAGAAGGAGAAGGAGAAGGAGAAGGAGAAGGAGAAGGAGAAGGAGAAGGAGAAGGAGAAGGAGAAGGAGAAGGAGAAGGAGAAGGAGAAGGAGAAGGAGAAGGAGAAGGAGAAGGAGAAGGAGAAGGAGGGGGGAAGGAGAAGGAGAAGGAGAAGGAGGGGGGAAGGAGGAAGAGGAGGGTGTGGAGGAGAAGGAGGATAAGGGTGGTGAGCAA